ATAAAAAATGAAGTAAATGATCGATTTCTTCGTATTTTATAATAGTATTCTTATAAATTGTTGAATTTAAAAAGGTTTGAATTTAAAATTTTTGAAAATCTTAATTCCTATGGAAAAATAATAATAAATAAATTTTTATTTCAAAATGAAATTATTAATGTTTTTGAATAATTTTACAATTAAGGAAATTCGTAAATAAATGTAATAGAACATTTTTTTTGAGTATCTAATAATTTTTAGAGTGAATCAGAATATTCTTTAGGCTCAGGGAATAAGTTAAAATTTTGTTTGTAAATCAGGGAAAAGTCAGGGAAAAACAAATTTTTGTAGCAACTCTGATAGTAAAATTTTTTTTCAAGAAAAATATTTTTTCATCTCTATTTTAATAATTAAGAAAAAAAACATTTCTACAGATGGACTAAACTATTTCATCAGGTAGAATCTTATTGACTTAAATTTAGAGAAGCATTTAAGATTATTACATTATTATCATCATAATCATCATCATTATCATCGTCATCATCATCATTCTTCTCTTAATTAAAACATTGAACTTGCTTTGAGTTTCACAAGAGATTTTTGTTGGGATAAAATTTCTGTAATAATTTTTAAAGAGCACTTGAGAAATTCTATATTCTATTCTATAATGTAATAATGAAAGTAAAAACAAATATTAGTTTCAATAATAATGCAAATTGTATGACGAACAAAAAATGTGGGTCTAATAGAGATTGTAATTGTGACACAGTTCATTAATTTTTAATAATAATAATAATCGTGTGACACAATTATGTCTTAACACAAAAGTCAATTCTTATGCTAATGAAAATAGTATACCTTGTCAAGATGGTATTATAAATTTCGTATAAATTTTTAATATGATTTTTTTCTGAGGTACATGAAATAGTAAAACATCAATTATAATTCTTATCGACACATGTAATTAAAAATTCAATAATTATTCCTAATTATTCAATAATACACTTGTAGCGATAATCAATAAATATTGATAGACTGTCATCAATAGTGTGTTAAAAATATTCGCCTCGTTACGTAATCGAAAATGGTTTCTTTTCAAGTGGTTGGTAAAATAAATCCTTTTGTAAAAATGGTTTCGAAAAAAAACCTTTCGTAAAACAATCGTTTTTGAAAAACAAGCTTTTTTTGTAAAAGTGTTGAAACGTATTTAAAAGTGCCATTAAACAGTCCACTCATGAAGTGGTAATGTAGAGTGCCAGTTTAGGTGTCAATTACACGTTCTTGTTAAAAAGAGATACTATAGGCTTTATGAGGGTTTTTCATTTCCTTTATAGTGGGAATTAATCGTCCTTGGAGACTAAAGTAAAATCCTGTAACTTTTACGATCAAAGCTTATTGCCAAGGGCGCATAAGATGGTCCAGCAATGAGTTTTCAACGAAATGAGCAAACAGAGACAAAAGAATAACGAATGATGTGAGTCTTTTGTATACCAATAATGCTTCAACACATTTTCAAAAAAATTAATAATTGATATTTTCTTTTTTCTTTAAGAAACGTCATTACCGTCAATCGAAGCTTCTCAGTGATTATTATGAAAAACGACAGTTTTCAGTATAAATATACAATTTTTGTATTCAAATATTTAATTTTACTGTTTTGGATAACAGAATTGTCACATGTCAGGAAGTCTGGAAATTTATCAAATATATTCGAAAAAGTATAAATTTCTAAAGTTGACAAAAGAATTTCAAATTTTTGTACCACTTTATTAATTAATTAATTTTTTAATTTATACATTTATTCGTTCATTCATTTATTAATTTATACATTTATTCGTTCATACATTTATTAATTTTTCAGTTGTTTTAATTCCCTAGTGAAAATTTTGCAAATACCAATGAATTTAAGAACAAGTTTTATTTTTAGGACGAATTTATTTCCATTTGGAATAAAAAAATTGATTTATATAAATGATGTAAGAGGCTTTTGTCGTTCGTATATTCTATTTGCGACTCGTTACATGCACTGTTACCTAATATATTTTAAAGCAAAATGTTCTATTCAGAAAGGTGTGAATGTAACAAGTTCTATTCATTAGGGAGCATTTATACAAAATACGTAATGTGCGTGGAAAAGGATGCCAAAGTAGTAGTGGCAATTTTAGTAAGACACGTATACAATGCCAGTAGAATTTCTTGAACTGAATAATATTCCTTTTATAAAGCGCTAAAGAATAACAGTTTTCTTTATACACTCTTCTGCTTCTTTTCATTGCAAAAAATTTCTCTCTAATAATAAAATACGAATAAATAATTGAGAATAATTAAACTAATATTTACTGAACGAACAACAATCATTAGAAAAATAAATCAAATAGAAAATAATTGTTTGTAAATAATTCATTAAGAATTGATAATAAAAATAATAAATAATAATTAAGATCTTTTTATGAAATTTGTTCAGTATTTTCTTTGTTAAAATAAATGAAGGTAAATTCCAATATGTTTCCCAGAATTCCGAACTTTTTTTTAGAACGAGAATTTGCTTTTTTTTGTATTTATTTCGAACAGTTGCAGAACTATTTTGTAAAGGTAAAAACTTTAAGTTTTTGGGAATTTCTGAACCACTTCTTTTCTCTTCTGAAAACTATTTCAAAATTGTTCTGTAAACATAGACACAGATATTTTCAGTAAATTATAAAAATTGTTCTTTTGGTTTACGTCGAATAGTTCCAGAACCGTTCTGTAAATCCCTTTCCTAGAAAATTGTAACCAAATAGTTCAGTAAACCTAGACACTGAATTTTTGCAGTAAATTCCAAAAATTGTTCTTTTTTGTTTGTAGAACCATTTTCAGAACTGTTCTGAAAATTTTAACTGTACAATTTTGCTAAACTTCAGAATTTCTTCATTGTTGTTTGAAGAATCATTTTTTTTATGGATTCTGTAAATTTGCGAACTACAATTTTTTTAAGTTTCAAAATTTGTTCTTTTCCGTTTGGAGAACCATTACAAAACAGTTCTGTAAATTTATACGCTGGTATTTTTAGTAAATTTCACAATCTGTTTTTATAATAATCCTCTTTCTTAATAATTGAAATTAAACATTTAATTCTTCAAATTTATTAAAATTTTTAGAAAATATCAGAATTTTTTGTTTGAAAAATTTCTTTAATTTATTAAATAGAATCGAATTTGCTAATAATTGTATTGAAAATAATTGAATTCCTGAGAAGAATTTTATTATTTTTGAAAAATAATTTAATTCTCTCAATTTATAAAATTTATAAAAACAATTGAATTGTTTCGAAGGATTTATTAAAATTTTAGAAAATAATTGAATTTTTTCAAAAAATGATATTAAGAATTTTTTTAAAAATTGAATTCTTTTATGAAATGTTATTAAAAAGTTGTATTAAAAATAATTGAATTTTTGCAAAGAATTTTACTATTTATAAAAATAATTGAATACCTTTGAAGAATTTTTTTTATTTTTCTGAATAATTCAATTTTTTCAAGAATTTTAATAAAATTGTTAAGAACAATTATATTTTTTAAGGAATTCGTTTAAAATTGTATTAAAAATAATTGAAATTCTGCAATGAGTGTTATTTATGAAAATAATTGAATTCCTAAAAAGAATTTTATTATTTATGAAAATAATTCAATCCCTTTAAAAAATTTTATTATTTATTGAAAATAATTAAATTATTGCAAAGAAATTTATAAAAAAAATTTTAAATAACAGAATTCATATGAAATTGAGGAAAATTTTTAATAATAATTGAAATTTGGACAAAAATTTTATTAAAAATTTTTAAAAAATTGAATTTTGACAAGAATTTTATTAAAATTTTTAAAAATAATTGAATTTTGGAAAAGAATTTGATTACATTTGAAAGTAATTGAATTTATACAAACCGTTATAATTTTTCCAAAATTCAATTTTTTACGTTTTTTTCAATATTTCTCATATGTATGCATTTAACCTTTTTTTGCTTATTAAAATTTTTATTTTCAAAATATAATTTAATATGAAAATGAAAAATGTTTTTAAGTACGTTTATGTACCATACAAAAAGAAACCACACGCGCGCGTAATAAATTTTAGCTATTAATAATAATTTCTTTTAATCGAAATAATAATTTACAGAAACATTACGTTTTCGAATGACCGAATTTTTCACTAAACTTTTGCAAGTAAATACTGCGAATTTTATAAGTAAATCCTTAATAAATTTTTATGAAAGTTTCGGTGCTGGGAGATCTTGTTCTGTAAACGTTCACACTGAATTTACCTTGCGAATTTTCTGGTTTTTGTAAATTCAGGAAATGTTCTAAAACAGTTGATGAAATAAAGAACAGTTCTAGAATGGGTGCAAACTGGAAGGAAATAAAATTCGGTACATGAGGCAATACAAATTTGAACCAAAACTAGAAAAGTTACCTTTTCTCCTTCTTTTACTGTTTCTTTTTTTTCTTTTCTTTTTTTTCCTTTTTCTTAAAAGAAGGAGAAAAGGGAGAAGAAACAGTAAAAGAAGAAGAGAAGTAAAGAGAAAAAGAAAAGAGACAGAAACAGAAGAAAAAAAGTAAAAAGAAACAGAAAAAGGAAAAGAGACAGAAACAGAAGAAGAAACAATAAAGAAAACAGAGAAGTAAAAAGAAACAGAAAAAGGAAAAGAGACAGGAACAGAAGAAGAAAAGTAAAAAGAAACAGAAAAAGGAAAAGAGACAGAAGAAAGAGAAGAGGGAAAAGAAAAAGACGAATAAAAAAAAAAATTAGAAGAACAAGAAGAAATTTGAAACCGTTTTCAGTTTATACAAAAAGAGAAGAATCTTTTATGTAACAATGGAACCGCTATTGGAAAAAGAAAAGAGAGAAGACGAAGAAATTTTCTCTCTCTCCCCCTTCTCTTCGACACAGGAGAGAAGAATCAATTGCTGGTCCTTGCGCGATCTAGAGCTCTCCTCTCACGAGTGATACAACTCGGATCATGATTTGCCCTCTCGCGGTTGGCCTCAGCCAGGTTCGAAGGCAAGGTAACTTCTATACACAACATGTAAGGGAGGTGGGACTCTATCTCTTTTCTCTCCGATGCTCCTCATCGCGCTCCTAAGGAGAGTTGAAGGATCATCTTATTAGGCCCACACTATATAAACACAAGCCGGCGGCATGGCGAGCAGTCATCCACCGTCTTCATTCTCCGTCGGGCCGGTTACATGCATATTCATTTCACATTCCCCAACCCTCGTTTTCGCGCCTAAAAATTCAAAAAAAAAAAATAAATAAATAATAACCAAAACCCACCCTTCAAAGTGTCAAGAGAATCTAAAAACAGCTCCAAGGGTTTTACAACATCAAAAGGGAATACAAACAAAAAAAAGTTGAAAATATTTTTGGTGCGTTTGTTTTACCGGAGGAAGAAAAAAAAGACAGTTTGCAACGGGCATTCAGCAAAAGCCCGGAAACATGTTTCATCTACAGGTACGTCGAAGAGATTCCAAATGGAGTTCTTAAGCTGCCTTCTTGTATTTGCCTGATTCGAAATACCCCAAAGAGAGAGATAGAGATAGAGATCCTTCTGCGGGATCGAATGATAGTCCAAATTCCCATTGGAAAAGAGGAAGATTCCTCGATATGAATCCTCAAGGAATTCTTCGATCTCTGAATACTTGACGAGATGTCGAGAATGGGAAAACTTGAAATACGTTCGTGGATGTTGTATATATAGCGTGGTTTCCTAGAGGATTGAGTTAAGCAAAAAAAAAAAAAGAAAAAAGGGTGGGAGGGGGTGCGGAAAAAGATTCGTGATTTTCTCTTTCACCCCTAGTGGAAATAATTTCAAAATTGGAGAATAAAACTTGAAATTCTTTTATTTGAAATTTTTCTATTTGGAAATTTTTCTCTTTTTCTCTTAGGAAAAAAAAAAATAGTGAGTGTGATAGATGGAAAATAGGTGACAGTGTGACTCGAGAGATTATCGAGATACAGTGCTGCCACCTTAGCGAAAATTTTCACTTTTATACGAGAAGCTACAAGAAAAGTATATTATAGATTTGAACTTATAACAAATTTAAAGAGTATCAAATATAGAAAGAAAGGAGGAAACGAAACCAAAAATAGTGATTTTATATAAAAACTTTTTTAGTCTTTTGTTTCTTAACATTGAATTTAAAAAAAAAATTCTACAGTACAATAACATTTAAATTTTTATTTTAGTTTAAAATTTTTATATTAACTATTAATTTTTTGCTAATATATATATATTTTTTTGATATTCTTTTTAATAATTTTTCTCTTTGTCAAACAGATTTTTTTTAAACAATAATTTTTTATTTTTTTAAATTGCTTATGGATTTTTTTGTATTCTTTTTAAAAATAACAAGAAACATTTTTTAACAATTTTTTATTATGACCACAAAGCATGAACAAAATTATTAATTATTATTAATACTTTATTGCAATCAGTTTCATTTACTAGAAATGATTAATTATTAATATGTTGTTATTAAGTAAACTTATTAATTAAAACTTAATAATTTATTGCAATTACTTGAATTAATTATTAAAAAATTATTAATTATTAATACTTTACTGCAACTTGTTTAATTAATTAAATAAAAATTATTAATTACGACTAGGTACTGTTTAAAAAGTTACAATTATTTAATTAAAAATTATTAGTTAAAAATACTTTGCAAAAAATTTAATTTGTTAATTAAAAATTTTTTCCATGAATGAAAATTTTTTTCTCTAAAAGAAGTAATCTTTTGAATTAATTTTCGATTTTTAAAAAAATTTTTTATAATAATAACTAGAAACATTCTTGTTGTATAAAAATTGTCTAACATTCAAGATATAACTAATTATTAATTAAAGTAATAATATTATTTTTATAACTGTTATTATTCTTTTTTTAATTATTATTCTTTTTTTAATTATTAGGATAATAATAATTATTATTATTATCAATATTACAATTTATAATTAATTAAATTTGTTAATTTATTAAACGTCTAGTTTAGTTTATTTATTAAAAGTAGATTAAACAAATTTTTTTTTTAAAGAATAATAATGTTTTTAGAGAATTAGAAAAGAGAAATTAGAAATAGAAAATAAATTGAAAACTATGAATTTCAAAAAATTAAAAATTTAAATTAAAAATAGAAAAAAAGAAAATATTTTATGGAAAAAAGGTTTAGTAACTTTATAACTAAATTCGCTACCTATTCGTATGAAAAAAAATTCCCTATTGTTAGCCAACAATTTGAAATCAACAATTTATTTTTCTTTTTAAATAAAAAAACCTTCCTTTGTAAATTTTCTACAAATATTATCAATATAATAATTTTGAATGAAAAAACTTTTATTCATAAATTTCTACTCTTTGATTTCGAAAAAACAAATATTCACTAATTAAATATCTATACAAAGAATAAATAAATAAAAGATTTTTCTTTTAAATGGAAACAAAAAATATAAAAAAGTATTTCAAAAACGATGCTTGAAAATTTGAAAGAAAATTTAATTTTCCGACAAAAATAAATCTTTTTCCCGTTTTTTTTTTTTTTTTTTGTTTTCAAAATGAAAGAATTCCAATCTCTTTAGTAAACAGCTTCTTTGCACACAGAGAAGAATTAAAAGAAGTATACGAAACAATAGATTGGATTTCAACTGAAACTGTGAAAGAGAAAATACATTTCGAGTTTAACGTTTTATTTTTCGTGTTTTATATATATAAATATATATACATATATACACGTATCTATTTTTCCCGTTGTGCTTTCCACTATATGCCTCTTCATGTTTTGTATCTCGTATTTCTAGTTTCTCGTTTTCACGGGGGTTTGTAATCTTACAGTAGTTCCACGCTTAAATTGCAGTGTTTTATAATTATTTTAATTTTCTCCACTCACAAACCAAATTCTAACTGTTAGAATTTTACGATTTTTTGTATTTTTTTCATTTGCTTTGTTTTGTTTCTTTTTTTTGAGAAATAAACTCAAAGTACAATTGTCACACAAATTACAGTCTTCATTGTTTGATTGAATTTTAACAATTAAATTCGTTTAATAGATTTTAACTAATTACTTACACTTTATATCAATTTAGAAATTATTCATCTATTATTATTCAGTTATTATTTTTTGTTTAACTTTATTTATTAACTATTATTTATTTATTCTAGTTTTTTTTTTTTACTTTTATTAACTAATTTACTATTTTTGTTTGTTTTCATTTACTATTATTCTTATTTTTTATTTTCTTTAATTTCAACTATTTATTTGCGTTTATTTATATACTTTTGTTTTTTATAATTTACTTACTTTCAATTATTGAATTTATTATTTATTTAAACAATATACGTGCTTGCAAAAAAATATGCCCTTTGCCCCCTTTATTTATCTTATTTTCAATTATTTATTTATTAACATTTATTTATCCATTTTTATTTGTTCATTATTTATTTATTTTCAATTAATTCGCCATTAGCTACTTATGTTATGTTATTAATAATTTTCATAATTAATTTAAAAACACAAAAGTTTGGATAATTAGCCTCAATTTTTTTTTATAATTACAATTGTCTAAGGTGGGAAAAGAAGCAAATGATACTTTTGTTCTCTAGAATATTTTCTTACCATTGTATTTACTCTTGAAGATTATGACCTCAAATTAAATTTTAATAAAATTTAAAATTAAATTCACAATGTAAATAACTTTTAAATTTTGCCGGTTTTTTTTACAATATTTAATTTAAAAATTCATTATTGCTTTCGATTTTCAAAAATTTTGTTTCACTTTCTAGTCTTAAATATTATTTATATAGATTTTATTATCGTGATTTAATAACTAATATAATCATTCTTTTCAAAATATTGTGATTAATGCTGTCATAATATTTAATTACGTATATAACATTATACATAATTATAATATTAATTTACGTAATTGTGTTTTACAATATTTATGAGAAATTGAATGATGAATATTTTTCTTAATAGTATAATTATTATTTTGATTAGAATTATTACTTTTCTTATAATTATTTCTATTTTGTTTATAAATGTTACATAGCTCATAATTATTGTGCTTCTTAATATTTTATTTTAATTATTATTAATTTATTATAATTATTATTAGTTGTACTTAATATTAAATAATTATAAAATGAGGGACAAAAAGTTTTTCTATAGAATTTTTAGATTGATAATTATTAGTTCGTTTATAATTATTATCTCGTTTGCAACTATTAATTTATTTAAATAAGATTGTAGGCAAATTTTTTTACAAAATTATTATTATTATATTATTATTATTATTATTTTACAATTATTAATAACTCTTATATAAAGAATACAATTATTATAATAGTTATTATAAGAATTGTTATAAATTAATTATATATTATTAATATAGTAAATTAATTTTTCTTTTTCGAATTTCGCGCCAGTAATGTTCTTTAAGTTGCCGCCTAGAGGGCATAAAAAGTCTCTCATAAACGAAGTGAACGAAGTGAATATTCATTGTTATTAAACGTTTTTAAAATTGCGTATATAAAATATTAATAGAAATATTAGGAACTTATTAAAATCAAATTTAATTTTTCAACTGTCATTACCTATTATATTCGATTGAAAAATAAAAACTCAATTTTCTTTGAAGCATATTGGTTGTAAAAATTTGAAGAAAATATATACACATTTTCATTGAGTCACGTATAAAAAAAATGTCGCGCACAATAAGGAAACGTTGTTGGTCGACATTTACGTTCGATTTTATGATGCGTAAGTAGAAAACGGTAATCAAACGCTCGCAATATCGTCGTCAATATATCATCATTCCTACACTATAAGCACCTGTCTCAGCTCCAACACATCACACGAGCACACGTGAATTACAAATAATTCCACACGTACATTGTTCATTATTTTCTTTTCAATTTCCCATCAATGTGGATATTTATAAAAAAAAAAAAATAATAATTTTTTTCTACGAATGTAGGAAAATAAATATTTTTTTATTATTAAAGAATGATATTTTTTTTATTCTTAAAGAATGGTATTTTTCTATTATTAAAGGATGGTATTTTTTTTACATTCTCTCATCACATATATGAGAAAGTATTTTATGAAAAAATAAAAATTGTTGGGAGAAAATTTGTATAATTTTGCGCAAAAGCATATAAAATTGCAAATGATCGCTAATAGAAGCTTTGGACGGTTTTCGAACATATAACGACATTGATAGTTTCGAAACACAATCGGGTATACATTCATTGGATTATGTAACGCGTTCAATCGGAAGAGATGCTTTCACGTGGAAAGCGAATAGTTTCAGTTTCAATTATTGCATCTTCGTTGAATAAGTGACTAGTAACATTGGCGTATGTAGTTAGAATTTTCTCGAAAGAGGGAGAGGAGAAAGAGAGAGAGAGATAGAGAAATGGAGACGATTCCCATAAAGCTCTTACGTTAGTTATT